AGGGCCAGATTTGCTTCACTGGTGGGCCCATGAATCCCAGACCTTGCCACCACCTTGGTCCTCCCACTCTTGGCAAGTGATGCTGATGGGAGGCTATTGCTGCAGCTCTGCTTCACTGGTCAAGCCAATTCTAGTACACAGGAACACAGGGTTTGATAGTTACTTGCCTTTATTTTAAAATAACATTTGAATGCTAAGATCTTCAGCTTCCTCTGTGAGATGGCTAAGTTTTGCTTGTGTAATAAGGTTGCTGCCATGAAGATAGAGAGACTCCCACTTAGGTTGAGAATACTATGTGTTTTCTCCAAATAAGAGATGTAATAAGACAATCTGAACTGAGAAGCTATCAGGCAGCCTATTTGTGATTATAAAGGCTATCAGTTGTCAGGTTTGTTAAGCATATTTGTTCCCTATAAACTTTTTCTTTTTCAAAACTAGAGTATGTTTCTTTGTACAATATAAACATCACTGTCAGTTTTATTAATTAATTTATTTATTTTAAAAGGAAAGAGAGGGAAGCTTTCAACTATAAGACAAGTATGTTGCAGAAGAATTGCACACAAACAAATGCTCATTTACTCAAGACTATTATACTCATTAGACTTGTTTAATAATAGATTAAAAGGACTGCAAATCCGTTTAGAAAACAATTCCGTTTACTCTTTCAGTCAAGTGGCTGAAGATTTATTTGAGCAATTCTTATGTCTGCTAGTGGAAGCTCCTGGCAAAGTTCGGTACAAACCTCTGCCGCCTGTTAAGAGCTTCTAACCAACCTGTCTAAAACATAGTCCTCTCCTTGTACCTCCTCCTCCTTGTACCAGGAATAGTACAGTACGTACACCTAAACTCCTTGATTCACTGAAGTTGGCAAAAGTTGGCCAAGCTATTTGCTTTCCATTCCTTCTCACGTGGTTGGGACAAAGAGAATAACTCTCTCAGGGGTTAATTTGTGGGCCAAATAACTGAAATTTGATGTAATATGAATTAAATGACACCACTTAAATTCTTCAGTATTCTTAGCTTTCAATGACATATATAGTGGTACCTCGGGTGACAGACGCTTCAGGTTACAGACTCTGCTAACCCAGAAATAGTACCTTGGGTTAAGAACTTTGCTTCAGGATGAGAACAGAAATTGTGCGGCGGCGGCGGCAGCAGCGGGAGGCCCCATTAGCTAAAGTGTGGTGCTTCAGGTTAAGAACAGTTTCAGGTTAAGAACGGACCTCCAGAATGAATTAAGTTCTTAACCTGAGGTAACACTGTAATGCTACGCAATATTGACTTAGGGTGAACAAGTAATGCCCAGGCTCCCAGAGAGGATATTGTAGCTGCCTTGATTCTTCTCCAGTGATTCTGCTGCTGCTCTGGACTGAGCTAACCCATGGTTCGGCTTAGCATGTTGTCCAAATCTGGGCTCATGGTTTAGTTCTCCCCAGACCAAAACATGAGCTGTAATCAAGCTTTGTCCTATGGTTTACAGATCATGGTTTGTCTAGGAAAGATAAGCCACAAGCCCAAGTCTGGACAACATGCTAAGCCAAACCATGGCTCAGTGTAGTGCAGAAGTAGAACAACTGGAGGAGAATGTCAGAAACACCAAGTCTCCTGAACTTAGTAGTCCCACACCTTTTTTTTTTTTTTACTGAAGTATTTATAAACCACACACTCATACAAAATATCAAGGCAGCGTACAATAATATATGCAGGTACGATAAAACATAGGATACCATTAAAAAAATTAAAATGAGAAGTAAAAAAATGATTGGTCAATCTTTAACGAAAATGCCCAACTTCTAGATTAAGGTTCTGAAGCACAGAGGCTTCAGAAACATTACTTGGTTTTATCGCCTGACTTCAGGGTTACGGAACCTCCCCTCTGTATATAATATTTATTTTCCCAGCTCCTAGGATTTGGAGGAAAGGGTCTATTCCTGGCCTGGTGCTATAGTTGGTGTCATTATGCTAGTATCTGGGTATGTCCCCAGACATAAGGTTGGCAATTTGCATGGTGCCATCTACCAAGACAGGCAGTGACCTTTTTATATGCCATCTAATCAGCCATTATGGAAGGAGAGGCTTCCTTTGCCTGTTATACGATGTTCTAGAAATTAGAACTGCACACGTCACTGCTTGCATCAACTTCAGTACAAATGCTCAATAGGATTTAAACTTTCAGGCTATTAGAAAACGCAAAAATCAAAATGCTGCAGTGGCCTGTTAAGTACATAAGATGATCCCTGCAGTGTCAGACCCAAAGAATATCTAGTCGAGTATCCTGTATCTCACAGTAGCCAATCAATCGCCTATAAGGGGTGGTACATTAAGTAATGCTCTATATGTACCCGTTGAAATGAAATTTGCAGGATAGCTACAGTCAAACTTAATCCTAATGCGACGAAAGCATTGACACATCCTCTTTTGATTTATTGTTCTGTGCTCTTTATGGGGCAAACTCTAGAATCAGCAACTATAGCACAACACAGCAGCCCGTTTCCAGACAGGAACTGGACCCAGGCATCATATCAAACCCGCTTTGCCTCAGCTTATTTGCACTGGCTAGCTGTTCGCAACGAACTTTAAATCACTGAAACCTAGGCCTTTAGTGTCTGAAGGAGCATTTGCTTCCCTGTGAACTCCCCTAATCTTTAAGACCTACTGGTGAGGAAAAGCCTCCTTCATTTTGACAAGCTTCTCTAACACACTCACTATTTCAGAACCAAAAGATTAATGACTCTTGGTAAATAGGCAGCTGTCCTATCAGCACTCTGATTTATGTGTAGCCAAGAGAAATAACATATATGTCCCATTATTCCACGCTGAATATATTTATGACAAAGAGACGATGGAAGCTCTTTTCTGCCTAGCCTCCTAGATTATAATAACCTAGAGAAGGCATGAGGTCATTTTCACATCTATCTGATGTGGTCAGGTATCTCCTCAGCATCCTTCTAATGTCAAAGGTCGGAGAGTATCATATTCATTGATGCTGCTTGTCAAAGTGCATATGGTTCTCCCTCTTATCCTCACAATGGCCCCATGTGAGGTGGATTAGTCTTAGAGATAATGAATGGCCCAAGGTCAACTAGCTGGCTTCATGGCCCAATGAGGCTTTAAATCCAAGTCTGTCTGCTCAATACTAGTCAGAGATACCACTACACCACTCTGAATTTGGTCCTGAAGTAACATGCTTAGGGGTTGGCTGTGAAGATGGCTTCAAGTAGGGAGCATCACACAGAGAGGAAAGATAGCTAAACTGAGAATTCAAAACTGCTGTATGTATTTTAGACATTTTTTAAAACTCTTAGTCAAAGACAAGAGTTACAACCAAAGCATGTTATTTGTGCTTAAGTTCCACCTGAATCACTGAGACAAGTTAATTCCTTCTGATTTCAGTGGGATCAAAGAATGACTAACACTCTCTGAATTGGGGTTAATGGGTTTCAATATGCTTAACTCTTTGTTGAAATGTGGCCAAACTTTTTTTCCCCTGGAACAGGAGAACAAGAAACAAAGTTCATGAGATGATATTCTCTCCCTGAGGAACGTCCTCCCTTCATATGTCAAGGAGATAGGAATACACAACTTTTTGAAGACATCTGAAGGCAGCCCTATATTGGGAAGTTTTTAATGTTTGATTATGTATTTTTATATATGTTGTAAGCTGCCCAGAGTGGCTGGGAAAACCCAGCCAGATGGGAGGGGGAATAAATATAAATATAATAATAATAATAATAATAATAATAATAATAATAATAATGTCCTTTGAGCATTCAGACGTAATATAATTTTTAAAAATGAAGAGTCATTGAGCTAATGTAGCTATTTATAAATTTTCTGGAATTCAGGCAATAAGACACCAATTAGGTAGACGAGCAGGTAGTTAAGTTATCCTCACTTCAGATTTTGTAGTCTACATAGTCCGATCAGTGATCACTCATTACCTAAGTACTGTTGCTGCTTCTTTATTGAGTTCACACCTCACAAAATAATTCATGGCATCTCTTGGGTTGAGTTTCCTGGTGTGTGAAAATAAGCTTCCTGTACCCTCTTTTTTGACATGCATTTAATAAATGTGTTGCTTATTATCTTTTTGAATATTTTCCTATAGTACAATGGCAGGCAAAACACCTTAGAGGAGCTAGGATATGAGATTCAATAGCAGACTAAAAGACAGCAAATGAAATTTTTAGAGTGATTGACTTTAAAATGCAAACGAAAGGCATCTCAGAGAGATTACTTCAGCTAATCATTTTAGTCTTGTCTTTGAAGAATGTACCTTCATTTAAAATTGAAAATAAATGCTATTTTTTGCTGCTCAGTATTCATGTAAGCACATCAGCAACCACAAATAGAATAAAATAAATGCAACCTTCAGAATTTGCTCTTTATTAATTTTGTGTGTGTTTGCTATCAATGTATTTATCTATCCATCTCTTAAAATAATTAGCCATGGAATATTTTGCAAATACGGGTGCAGTTGTACCATCAGTTATATGTAAGAACTAATTAATTAAATGACACTTATTGAGGTATAGGATCTTGGATCTGTTACATAAAAACTCTGTCTGCCTCCCTTAAGATAATTGCAAAGTATTTACCAGTCATTGAGCTGTAATGTTTCTGTCTTGAAGATTACCTACCTGGTTAAGTCAGGTTTTTGTGGTTTCTACCTTTACTGAAAAAGCAGTCTTTTTAATAAAGATGTGGTGGCAAAGACTTTACAAATATATTCCTCTTAGCCACACTAAATGCAGTTCTGCAAATTAATTATTCATCTTTAATTGCATTATATAAACAGAAATGACCTGCTAATTTAAAGGAAATCTATCAGAGCAAAATGAATTCTCTTCTATAAAAAAAAAAGCCAGATGAACTTGACCTTGTATGAACTTGTTTTGATGTGGCCCAGATGGTGGGCTGCATGCTTGAATAGCGGGCTAGAGCAGAGGAAAAAACTAATATAGTAAGATCTAGATTTATAGCCTTTTGCAAATTCCTACCTTGTATTGTCCTCTCAGCATCTGTTCTGCCCCCACTGCGGTCAGCTTCTATCTCTGGGGTCAGAGAGTCTAAAAGCACAAAAAGGTAAGGCTGACACATATTTCACTTGAGCCTCAAAGCCCTCTTTTTACAACCTGTTACTCCAGTCCTGAATTACAATACAATCAACCTTTGCCCTGTTTTTAATGTTGAACAATGACTGGGTGCCAGCACAATAATTTTTCAATGAGCAAGATTAATGAGAAATAGATGTTTAAAGCAGAGTCAATAACAGAGAGCTGACATCTCAAAGCATTTAATTTAATAAAATCATCGGGTTTAATTCCCCTCCCCGCAATGATATAGAAATAAAAAATTGCAATACAGAGGAAAAACCGCTTGCTATTTTATCTCTATTGCAGCTGGGAGGAACTAACCACCAACTCCCTTTCCAATATGACCTTTCTCCTTCATACCACTTGAACCATGCATTAGTCTAACAAATGCAACAAGGTGGCTTCTTACCATTTAGGACCCTGAGATTATCTGTGGAAGCTGCCTGTTTCAGTGTCTGTTCCGCTTGTTCTCGTCTCTTTGTTTCAAATTCAAGTGCTTCCTGCAATTTCCTCTTGGCTTTCTTTTCCTTCTTTAACCTTTTCTGAATTATTGCTGTCATGGAAAAAAATCTATTCAAGTTCAACCCCAAAACCTTGACTTGAACACTTTATTTACTTTAGATTCTTAATAGCTATGACAATACTAAATATAAAATATTACATATATGTACTCATCATTTATTAATAGTTCACTTAGATCAATTTCCATGGTCCAGTTTTATACACCAGGGGGGGGGGAGTTATAATGAGCCGTATCTTCCCTGGATTGACATTATATTATTACATGGCATTCTGCTAAAGTTGTAATCTATGCAAGCAGAAACACCAGTCCAGCTCTTTAGGGTTGGTGTTCGTGGCTTAAATCAGTTTTAATGAGCAGGAAAGAAAGGATTTGTTTAAAAACCCAAATGTGTTACGAATTTCAAAACACCGCATAGCGTCACCTGATGTGAACATCTCATCTGGAACCTGCCTTTCCAAACACTTTCACACGCTTGCCATTTTTGTTTCTCAATTATGCAAGCTCCTCGCGGGTTAATAATATTTCCTTTCGTGCTCATAGCTGCTTGTTCTTTTCTCTTCCACAAGGTGGAGTTTGCAATGGAGTCTGAGCTCAAATGACAGACTGCTTCACTCCTGGAAGCATTCCAGTTCACGATGATTTTCTGTCCTGGATCTGCATAAACTACTGGGATAAGCAAGCCCATGTAATCTTTGAATTCCTTCCAAGGTACCCAAGCCTATTAACTTTCCACTTTCAACCTTCATCCTCCTCCTCTTTGGGCAAGTGTCATTAGCTGCCTTCCTTGCCCTCTGCCGCCCTCCCTCTAGCAGGCAGGAGGAGAGTGTACATCATGCTGACATCTGCAGCAGGACAGTGCTCATTGTCAAGTCAAACATCAGGCAGATGCACGGTTGTACAGCAATGAAGATGGAATTTATGAAACAAGGGCTCTTTTAAAGATGCACCGACTTCGGAGGTCCTTGTGGTGCAAAACCATTTTAAGAACGTGTGTGAAGCCAGAATGCAATTCCTACCATGCCAGAAACAGCATTCATACGGCAAACAAAGAAAGTTCTTATTATATTTCAAATGTGAGGTCGAAGCACCTTGAGCAGCTCTGTGGTTTAATGTTTTATTATAACCACACTGTTAACAACCTAAATGAATACATAGAAAGCGCAGGTTGCTTTCTGAATTATGTGTTTGTTGTAGATTATCTTTTGTAGCTAGGGCTGTGGATTTCACAGCCGCAGAAAGTAATGTTTTGCTGTGCACCTAACCACTTCAGAAATACGATGCTAGTTTTACTACAATCATAGCAGACTCTACAGTCAAAACAGTCACTAATTAGAGGATAGGAATGGAAATCAAAGGAAATGAGACAAGTAAACATGTCATGAAGCATAACTCGTAAGCAGCTTAGGGTATATATGCCCCTATATAAGGTTCCTGTGCTGTTCAAAGCACATGAAGTTTTACTACTAGTTCATTAGCTCAGCTGTTTGCTTATAAGCCCAACATATCAATCTTTAACAGATTTACCTGGAAGGCGGCTTCATTGATCTGATCTGTTAGGGTGCCAAAAGACTTTGGGGTGCTTTGTTTGCTTACTTTGGTCATGCATCATCAAAATGTTCATAATGCTTTGGACAGTAGCATCAAAACCGATTTAAGAGAAAAGCTCTTATTTAGCCTTTCAGTTGTAATTGGGTGGACCCTAGTAGCTATTTGAAATATTGGTGGGCAGGTAAACCCTATTGATATGAATCAGTAAGTGGAACTACCATATGCCTAAGGTAACTGGGGTCCCCAGCAATTTCTAAAAATAGAAGAGGGAAAACTTTAGCATCATAAATTCCATTTAAAAAAAAAACCCTGGTTATAACACTTTAAGAGCACTGGAGTAGATTTCCCCCCTTCTCTTTGGTAAACATAGAAGTAGAGGTGTCTCTACATCTTCAAGACCTGCTTCTGTACTGCCACCATGTGAGAATCCTGTGGTCATGGAACAACCAGCAGGTTCTCATTGGAAGATCAGCTTGGTCTGTAACAGTCCACCAAATATCCTGGTCCCAGGTTGGTTAGGATTTAGATGTCAGCAAAACTTTAAACCTGGCTCATTAGCTCACAGGGAGCCAGTGCAGTTCTTTCAACACAGAAAGGTAGAATCTACACACATATAAAAAACGTTGTGAAGATGCTTAATTTTTTTTTTTAAAATATATATATATATTGAATTTGACATAGCTCACTGTTGTCCTCTAGTGTCACATTTGTATATTTGCACATTACAACACACTTAAAAGGCTTTATTTGCAGTTGTTTAGCTGAGTCCTAAGCACCCTAATAGCTGCATTTCACACTAGTTGCAGCATCTAAACCAGACACAAGGGCAGCCTAACATAGCACATTAAAGGTAAAGGTAATGGGACCCCTGACCATTAGGTCCAGTCGTGGCCGACTCTGGGGTTGTGGTGCTCATCTCGCTATATTGGCCAAAGGAGCCGGCGTACAGCTTCCAGGTCATGTGGCCAGCATGACTAAGCCGCTTCTGGCGAACCAGAGCAGCACATGGAAACGCCGTTTACCTTTCCGCCGGAGCAGTGCCTATTTATCTATTTGCACTTTGATGTGCTTTCAAACTGCTAGGTTGGCAGGAGCAGGGACTGAGCAACGGGAATTCACCCCGTCACGGCGATTCAACCCGCCAACCTTCTGATCGGCACGTCCTAGGCTCTGTGGTTTAACCCACAGCACCACCCACATCCCTATATAGCACATTACGGTAGTCTAATTGGGAAGTTTTTACTCTACGGCAACTTGGCCAGGGCATCCCTGTCCAGCAACAGTTGTGAATGCCACACCAGCTGAATCTGGTAATGAGCATTCTTAGCTACTGTGTTCACCTGGGCCTCTACTGACGGTGATGGACCTATGAGCAGTGCCTAAACTATGCACCTGCTCCTTCAGAAAACGTGCAACCCCAGGCCTGTCAGGATTTTGTAACTTCAGCCTGCCTATGAGTGTATCCAAGCACTGGCTTAGGGTCTGCAGTGCCTTTCCTGAATCAGATATTGCAGAGAAATAGTTGGGCATGATCAGCATACTGGTGAATCCCAAATTTCCTGATGACTTCTCCATGCAACTTTATCAGGACATAAAATAGCACAGGGGAGAAAACTGTGCCTTGTGGCACCTCCCTGTGCCAGCAGGTAGAGGCACGGCCACTCAACGCTAGTGCCTGAAACTAACCCCACAAACAGGAGTGGCCTCATTCTGTTCTAAAATTGGTCCTGAAGCCAACCTAGAATGATTCAACAGTAACTGCAGGTGAAACAACCACCTTGCCCCCCAAAAAGCATATTGCTGACTTGAGTGGTAGTTGGCAAAAATCTCTGGCAAAAACCACCACCTCCTTCAAGGGACTTAGGGACCACTCCATCGCAAAGCAAAGCATTCACTACACTCTGGATCTAGCCAGTAAACCCTCCACAGCCGACACAAGCCAGCTGTGATGGACATTGGTTGAGAGAGTGTGGAGTAGGCTGCACAGCGGCAAGAGCCATGTCCACACCCTCAGGCATTAGTAATAATAATAATAATAATAATAATAATAATAATAATAATAATTTATTATTTATACCCCGCCCATCTGGCTGGGCCTCCCCACCACTCTGGGTGCTTCCAAAAGAACATTAAAATACTGTGATACATCAAAAATTAAAAGCTTCCCTAAACAGGGCTGCCTTCAGATGTCTTCTAAAAGTCTGGTTGTTGTTGTTCTCTTTGACATCTGGTAGGATGTCATTCCACAGGGCGGGCGCCACTACCGAGAAGGCCCGCTGCCTGGTTCCCTGTAACTTGGCTTCTCGCAGTGAGGGAACCGCCAGAAGGCCCTCGGTGCTGGACCTCAGTGTCCGGGTAAAACGATGGGGGTGGAGATCAGTAACTGAAACTGATCCCACAATATCAGACATGATGGTGCACTGGACATGGTGATAGACATTGCATCAATGGTGGAACTCAAGTCTACCTGGAAATGGGCGTTTTTGTTCTCAAAGTGCCTTGCCAAACCATCCAGTGGGCCCCCGAGGGCTTCAAGACTCTTATCCCTCTTATCACTTGGAAAGCCTCCACTAAATGGCTACCTGAGGGAGCAATGGAGGTGGCAAAGTAGGCCTTCTCTGCCAGCTTTCCCACCATGCAGTAGGCAGGATTATGTGCTCTTATGCATGTTCAGTCACTATCGCAACAAGACTCGTACCGCTTGTGTGCCAGCTATCTCTGCACCTGTTTCATTGCCTGAAGCTCTCTGGTAAATCTAGGGACTGCTGGGCCCCTGCAATTTCAGAGAATGTGCAATTGGGTCTATGCCCCTACCATGCTTTGCCATTCCATAGCATAATTAGGCTCTCAGTAGAACGACCAGTGCTGGCTGCAGGACCCCCTCGCCCCCCCCCAAGCATTCAGGAACATTTTGGAATCCGTCTCCAAGGGCAGAAAATTTTAATAGGAGCCCCATCACTGCAGTGAAGGATTGATTTCGTCAGACCAAACTTCAAGAGGCAGTGGATAACAGCGTAATTTCAATCCCCTAACCTACAGACCACCCTCAGCCCAAGACTAGATTGCAAGTGTGCCCTGCCATACAAGTTGAACAGGTGACAAACTGAGAAGCCCCAGGGTTTTCTTAGACGTTCTGAGCTGCCTTCCAAGTGCACTGATTATTTCTAATGTTATTGGGGGTGGGGGAGAGAATCCTTTTAAGGTATTGGGGTACATTGGACCCCTTCCATTATTTGCTATGAGCCCAGTATTTCACCTAGGCATTTTGTTGTTATTTCTCTTTTGCTTTCCCTTTCGTTAACATTGTGAGGACCAATGCATCCCAATAGTGGGTTTTTGTGTTTGTGTGTGTTAAACAATGTTTTTGGAATGTGATACTACTAAAACCTATTTCCCCTTTTAAACTAGAATCGTTTTGAAATTTATCGTGATCTTTAAAGGGGGTCTACTAAATGTCAGCAGCAGATTGGTGCTATTAAAAAAATGGTGAATGAGGTTTAACAAAGAGTTTTGGTCATCCACCCAGGGTTTCTGCTCTGCAACCTCGATTTGCTTTTAAGATTAAGGTAAAGGTAAAGGTACCCCTGCCCGTACGGGCCAGTCTTGCCAGACTCTGGGGTTGTGCGCCCATCTCACTTAAGAGGCCAGGGGCCAGCGCTGTCCGGAGACACTTCCGGGTCACGTGGCCAGCGTGACAAAGCTGCATCTGGCGAGCCAGCGCAGCACACGGAAACACCGTTTACCTTCCCGCCAGTAAGCGGTCCCTATTTATCTACTTGCACCTGGGGCTGCTTTCGAACTGCTAGGTTGGCAGGCGCTGGGACCGAGCAACGGGAGCGCACCCCGCCACGGGGATTCGAACCGCCGACCTATCGATCGGCAAGCCCTAGGCACTGAGGCTTTTACCCATTACCTAACAGTATTCTCTTGACCATGCTAGCAAACAACCCAATTTGAACAGCAAGGGCACATAGTAAGGCCTTCTCCAAACTGCAATACTTCTTTCCTATAGAGTCTCATTTTTTCCAGAAGTGGTGTAATAGTTCTTCTTTGGGTTTCGCTCCAGAATCTACAGCTATGTGCAGGAACTCTTAGTGCCTCCTGACAATCTCTACCATCCCTAGCAGTGCTTTTCCTTTCTAAGCGCACAACACCCGTGAGAACACATGAATGGGGAGAAGGAAGAGGGGCCTGATTTGGTCAGCAAGAGTCCAGGAAAGCCTCCAAGTTCCTTTTGAGTGCCTGATGATATCATCAGACACAAAAGGGGCCTGGCCGATTCATAATTAATCCAGGGGAAATGATTAATTTTCAGTTGTCCAGTGAACATCTGGGCAATTAATCCAGTTCTCCTGGATTCATTACAAATCTTCCCAGGGATGTCAATCTGCTCGTCATTAACTTTATGTAGATTACCTAGCCCCAGTTGTGGTGTCATGATTCCAAACTAACTTTATCCCTTTACCTATGAGGTGCAACTACCAAATGTCAGGTCCTAAAGCAGAATAATAAAATTTAAGTAAGAATCATTTGAATATCCCATTTTAGAAATGTGTTTTGGAAATAGCCAATGAATTAAAATTGACCTACATCAAATAATATAAATATCCATTTTCACGATATGCTGTCTGAAACATTGTGAATTCCTTTTGACCTTGCTGCTGTCAAGACAAGAAAATTTTCTACACTCAAAACCTACAGTGAAATTTTTGCACTGAGCACTGAAGCGATGTAATTTTCTGTGTGGAACCTTTTAAAGATAAAAAGGGTCTTTATACGAAACCATATGTTGTATCATTGGCAGTTACTCTTGTGCAAGGGAACTAAGGCAAGTCATATGTGAATAGTGGCATGGTATCTTTGGAAAATTGAGATAATGCGTGAACCCTATAAATGATTATGTTTCTATTATCGTTACCTCTGTTCTTCTGTTCCACTGCCAACTGTTTTTCAAGTGTTTCCCTCAGTTCTCGTTCCCTGAAAAGTTCCATTTTCAGCTCTGTCTTTTCCAGCTGGACTTGCTTCTCCTGAGCGCGAGCGTTGTCTATGGCAACCTTCAACAGGCCCTGTTGGGAGACAAAGTTCAATGGAGTAATCTTCTGAAATATTAAGCTACCCAATCAATGTCTGTTAGCTATGTAAAATCCCAATAGTAATCCCAATAACATGTTATCAAATCATAGCACAGTTGCAGCATTGTGGAGAGGGAAACAACAGAAATAGTACAAAACCTCTTGACACTTTTATTCATATAATCAATAGAAACATACAACTTATAGAAACATGCCACAAGCTTTTATGGGAAGGAGCTATCGCTCAATGGACATAGTTTGCATGCAAAAGATCCCAGGTTCAGTCTCTGGCATCTCCCAAGTAGGATGTGGAGAAAATTGTCTCAGAAACCCCAGAAAGCCTCCCTTCAGCACTCCGCAGGTAAATGAGATTCTACTTCCAGAATAACAAAGACACAGAAATCATTCCGGGTTAAATGCCGCACTGTACACAGTAGTCTAGTTTTTTAAGCGACCTATTTTGAGATCGTAGTTTCAAACAATGTGGTATTATAACAAAAAAAGTGGCAAAAGTGTCAGTAAATGCAAAAGCTCACAAGCAGACCTCCTTTACATTTTGAGGATCCCTTCTTGTTGAACAATAAAACCTAGCTGCTATGGCAACTGCCATCTTTACTCAATCAGCAACATTCATGTACATGTTTCTTCTTCATCAGGAACAAACAATTAGTAACAAATGAAAGAGATCATTACATCAAGTGCCCTTTTAGATCACCCCAATTAAAACTTTAGTTTAGCTGTATTTTAATTCTAACATACCAAATTCTAATTTTCTGCTCTGATTGCTCTTGTTGACTTATCTTTGAAAGATGTACTCGCAGCGCAAAGCCTAGAGATTTATTTAGCAAGATGCCAATGTTGGCACCACTTAACGTGTTGATTGGTTGTATTATCAGTAGCAATGGAAAATAAATTACTATTAAACTATTATTGTCCTTGGCTGACAAAACACAATATTTTGCTGTTCTTTAAATATGAAACAATCATGGATAAACATGGAGAATAATGCTAAACTGCAACACTGATGGGTGTAATTTTATGTTAAGCACCTTTGCAAAGTGTGAAGCTGCTAAGAGCATGTTACATTTTCATTGGGCCTCAGCACCATATCTTCTCATCCACCCTATTCCCCTAACATATTTTTGAAACACTTTCTTCTAATGCTCCTAATGGTAATGCACTGTCTACTGCTGCTCATTATGTCTGGGAAAATATTAGCATTTTTGGCTCTGAAACCCACTAGGGACAACTTACAACCTATGGAAAATGAACTTTCGTTTTTAGAAGTTATATCCAGCACATCAGCAGGGCAGCCAAAATATTACACTTGGAGCCAAATTGATGCGTATGCAAAAATGTTACTGCTGCCAATGGCAATCCTAATGTGATGCACTCTGAAATAATAGGTATTAACTCATAGTCAATGTAGCAGCGTGAGAGAAGGGGCAAATAATGTAGCCCCTAGGACCCTCAGATGCCTTTGAGCCATCAACAATAGTAGTAATTTCTGGGCTGTTTGGATTTGTGTGAATTCTCTATAGACCCATTGAAAAAAGATTTTACAAGACACTTTGGCTAATCCTCTTCCGTGATATTAAATCAATGTGCTGCCAAACCATTGAAAATGCAGTGTAAACTAGGCCTACAACACTGTGCGCAGGTAGCTTGCTTGACTCTCACTGACGTCAAGAGCATTTTAAATGCCTAATGGTTGTAGGATTACTGCCCAGGACAGCAACACAGGGAAATATATTCTTTTATGGAGACACAGACTTACAGTGAAGTTGACCAATGGTAGTAAAACCAAGAAAGTCAGGTTTCTTTTAAGGTAATAAGGCTGTCTCATAACAGGCCATTACTTTTAAACCATTTGTACAAAACTCTCTAATCCCAATCTGGAAAGAGATTATGCAGAGAAACCCTATCAAAATAACTGGGGAGACATTACCAGCAGCTAATCCGGCTTCATCTGGTTTATAGCACTGAAAGTCTTGGTTGTCCTGACTGATGACCTTTAGCAGGAGAGAGGCAGAAGGCATATGACCCCAAACAGATTTCAATATCATTAACCATGGCATTGTATTAAGAGTTGTTCTCTGGGCTGAGAAGTTGGAGATATAGAAGCTTCACTGCTACCTGCAGGGCTCGTTTCAGAGAGTAGCACTGGGGGACTTATGCTTGACCACCTGGGACTAGTACCATTAGATGCCAAAAGGTTCCATTTTGTCCCCCATGTTCTTTAATATCTACATGAAGCAGCTGGCAAAAGTCATCTCTGGATCTGGAGTACGGTGCCATCAATATGTGCATGAGACCCAGCTTTGTTTCCCCTTGTCATTTAAATAAGGTGAGGCTATGCAGGTACTGCTATGCTTTTGAATTATGGTGCCGGAGGAGACTCTTGAGAGTCCCATGGACTGCAAGAAGATCAAACACATCCATTCTTAAGGAAATCAGCCCTGAGTGCTCACTGGAAGGACAGATCGTGAAGCTGAGGCTCCAGTACTTTGGCCACCTCATGAGAAGAGAAGACTCCCTGGAGAAGACACTGATGCTGGGAAAGATGGAGGGCACAAGGAGAAGGGGGCGACAGAGGACAAGATGGTTGGATAGTGTTTTCGAGGTTACCAGCATGAGTTTGACCAAACTGCGGGAAGTAGTGGAGGACAGAGGTGCCTGGTGTGCTCTGGTCCATGGGGTCACGAAGAGTCGGACACGACTAAACAACAACAAATGCAGGTACTGAATTGGAGCTTGGGGGCAGTAATGGGCTGGAGAACGGCCAATAAACTGAGACCGATTTCTGTTAAAACGGAGGTAATCTGGATAGGCAATTTACATGTCTGTGAAGTCGATCAACAATTGGTTCAAGAAGGGGTGGCACACCCCTTGAAGCACCAAGTTCATAGTCTGCATCCAGCATTGTAACTAGATGGCCAGGGGGCATCAGAGGCATGTAGTGCCAATCTTCCACTTACAGCTGGTTTGCCTTCTATGGCCATTCCTGACTGAGATAGACCAGTAACTCATGCTGTTTAGCCATATTTACAGCTACAATAATCTAAATGGAAAAAGGTCCAGAACCTACAAGTAGTGCAGAATGGTGTTACTAAGTATTGTGGTTTACAATAACCATATACCACTAGTTTTACAAGAGTTGCAGAAGTTGTCTGTGTGAGTCCAAGCTGCAACCAGATAGCTCAGTGGGTAGAGCATTTGAATGCAAGCTGCCCCAGGCTGGAAAGAGCAATTGTCATAGTTATATGCACTTTTGTCATATGGGGAAAGATAGTAGTATGCCCAGTAGAAACAGTTTACAGGGTAGTATGTGTCTAAACCGCTGAGCCTCTTGGGCTTGCCGATCAAAAGGTTTTGTTTTGTTTTGTTTGTTTTTTTAAAAAGAGAGTCTAATGCCGTTCTTTCTTGACTTTCTGACTCATGTTTATAGCTTTCATTCATCCTTCAAAGCAACTACTTAATTGGGTACACTTTCAGAATAATAGGTACAATCCGGCACTTGAGTCCAAATATGGCCTCAATGTGAATTGCTGTGCGGTGCCCCCTGGCGGAGGAAGAGGAGTGTTAGAATTCCTATTCCATGATTGCAGTCATGGGATTGTTGTCTATCACATGTGTTTTGACTCCAAAAAGTGGGAAGTGACAGAGACAGGATGTTTGTGTTACTGTGTTCTGTGAAGTGGGACTATTGTCCTTTGTTTTTTCCTCTTTGCTGTCTGATGCTAGAGAGAGAGGGAGCCATGTTGCAGTGCTCCGTGTGTGTTTATATGTAAATAAAGTAGATTAGCCAAAATGCTGAGTTGCTGAGGTCTGTTACGCAACTGCGAAGACTCTGAGAATCCCTAAGTGTGCCGATGTCTGTTGGCATTGGTCGCTGTGATGTTCGGGCAGAAGAAAGCTTTTGAAGCTCCCGAACGATCAACCAGGAGGGAGGGAACATGCCAGTCGGGCATGGGTCTCTGCCAGGGTCCTACTCAAGTGTAGGCTGAGCTCCTGACAGAGCGCACCACCTCTAGCAATTCAATCCCTGTGGGGTGCCATTGCGGCTGCCCCCCCCCCGCAATGGGTGCCACACCCCTGCAGGAGGAGTGCCTCACCCCTGGGACGCGTGCCAGCCCCGCCTGCTCTCTGCCCTCCGGTGCCAGAGCATGCAGCTCCACCACTGGCTATGCCACTAATACGACTAGGACATACTGGGATGCACTGAGGACAAAAAGAGTATTTCTTATGCACTTAGGGCAGAGCAATATATTATGTACAACTGCTTATCACAAACCCCATCTGCCAATCACTTGGGAATAAGCAGTTTAGGGAGAAGGGTGACTTAAGAGTGCAGAACAAGTGCTCTGCAACTGTTCGCCAAAACTCTTTTGCCCTAAAAGAGAGGTTCAGATATGCATTTAGCCTGGCAAATGCAGAACTGCAGCAGAAAAACACAGGGCAGGGAAGCACTAAGTACACTCTTCCTCTTGCTGTTTCTCCTATCCAAATGCTCCTACCTGCTTTATGCAACTGTAAAGAGTTTATTTTACTTGCTGACATGTTCCCACCTTACAGCTTAAATGAATTAATATTCACTTTATTTGGGGTGGTTTTTAAAAATATAAATCTGAACTTCTTCCCTCCTTGCCATTTTCAGATCATTTCCGCCCCAGGCAAACACCTTTTATCTCTGCTGACTGCTTTTATTCTGCTCTTCTGATTTGTGTTGCTTTCATTGTTTTTTCTTTTAATTCCTTTTAAAAAATTCTTTACTTGTCCACATGCTGAAATACTCTTCAAAGGCCCTCCTTCACAGCTGCCTCTGCTACTTGAAGTGAGGTGGGTGTAAAAAATGGGTGAGTTCCCAGGGGGACTCACCTGGCACCCACACCTATGTCTTCTAGGCTATCGTCTTAGTAATTTACCTGGGCATAATACCCATGAGCTTCTACCCATGTAAACATGCATAGGATGAATGGGATCAGGAAAAGACC